CTCTTGTTTTGGCTAGGCGGAGGATGTCGCGTTAGTGATTGCTCTTGCCAAAGACTGACTTCGATTCGCGCCCACATTGACTTCAATGTAGGCCGCGCAGTGCACCTGCTACGTTCTTGAGACGGTAGCGAGGATTCTCGAGATGAAATTGAATATATCCATGGCGATACGCTTGCCAGAGAGGTAGTTTAGCGGGCGCCGCGTACTCGATCAGAGCGTCGATGTTGTTCGCAGCCTTTTCCGCCTCGGCAACCGACTCGTTCAGCATGTCGCGTATGCAAAATTTCTTGTCCGCTCGAGCAGTCCCTTCCTCGCCCGAGAGATGTCTGATGCGGGTCTTGATGTTGATATAGTTGCCTCCGTCTCCGGTGAGAATCTCTTTGCGTAGAGACATGACATCGTTGACAAACGACGTGTAGCTTTGCAGATCGGTGATGCAGGCCAGCCAGCGATCCATTTCGATCGCTTCGTCCTTGTCCGGCTTGAACACTGCCAGCACGTAAGCAACCCCGATGCCACTCTTGTCGCGTATCCAGTCGGCGAAGGAATGACTCGCTTGGGGCGCATTGTTGTCCGATGCGACGCGTTTGCCGAGGATTCTTGCCTCGAGAAGCCCTCCAACAAGGAACGCTTCCCACGAAGCGCGCACAAGAACAGCTGCCAGCGAATCGTCCTGCTCAAAATAGGCAACCAGCTCGTCGACCGTGCTGAAGAAGAGGCGCAGCAAGGTTTTTGCAGCCTGCCCACTTTGCTCTGTAGCCTGCTGATGGCAGAGGTAGTGCTCAGACTGGCGTAAAACATCCTCTTGGCTCGGCTGATCGTCTAAAGCGATGAAGAGTGTCGTCATCTTCGACATCAAGTTCTTGATTTGCATCGAGATAGAACAGACAGCCAGCATCTACGCCGACCTTGACAAGTGCTGACAACTCATGGGGTCCAACGCAACATCCTTGCAGCTCCTTTTTCGCCCATTTCTCGATGTTGGCCAGAGTCTCCACGTATTCCGCGTCTTGTTGCTCGCTTGAGATCGGGTTACGATAGCCCAAGCGATGGAAG